AAAATTAAGTTAATCAAACTTGAAAACCATTTCATTAAAGTAAATTCGTTTAATATCAGTTCTAAATTGTTTTCTATTATTTTTAATTACTATTTATTTAATTCAATTTTTACAACAATTATGTGACAACATTTTATATTTAACATAAATATTTAATACTTTATTATAGTACATATAATAATTTTGCGCTTCTAAAATGCTGTAGATAGGAATTTTATAGTCTTAAAGCTTAAAATTTATTCTTGGAATAATGTAATGAATAGAAAAATAATTTTAAAGTGAATAAAAAAAAAAGTCGAACTAATGTTTTGAACAATTATAATCGTTATGAAATAATTTAATTTTTAAAATTAAAAAAATAAATTATACGATATTGTATGTAAATTTTTTTATATATAAATTCTAATGAGGTATTTTGTTTATCAATTAAATAATAATAAATATTAAGAATGTATATATATATGTATGTATAAAGATATGATACTATAATACACTTTCATTTATAAAATCAAGTGAACCAATTTTGTTTGATATGATATAAAAATCATTTCAACCAGCTTATAAATTTATATTTCTAAATAAAATGTTTAGGTACATATTTATTTATTCTTATATAAAGTATCAGTCATGCGTGCTGGTTGAAATAAATAAATCTTTAAACTAAGTCAATATATATTTGCATTATGAATAAATGAAAAACGATTCTAAATTGTAAACATAAAGATTGAAACATATAAATCTAATTGTTATAATGAAACGAAATATAACTAATTAAATAATGTTTAAAATTTTATTAGTTTTAAAAATATTAATAAAATTTCAATAATTTATTATGTAATGAACTTATGGTAATAGACTAGCTATTATTATATATATATACCTTTGTAAAATATATATATATATATAACTTATGAGAAAATATCAACAATTTCACATATATATGATTGAAAACAATAACTATGTATGACTAAAAACATAACACTAATATGTATTATATGTTTATGAAAAAATAAAAATATATATATAAGATATATATAATATATTAGAATATATTATATGTATATATAATATATAAAAATATATTATATGTCCAAAAATATATAAGAATATATTATATGTACATAAATATATAAGAAAATATTACATGAATACATATAAATTAAAAAAAACTGATGTTTTTAGCAACACAGTTTTCGACTGTTATATTAATATAATATTAATATATATTTAGTAAAGAAAAATTAAAATTAATATATGTTATTAATATATAATAATATATATATTAATATTAATATATATTTAGTAGTTAAACAAAAATTTAAATTAATGAAAACTGAAACACAAAATTCAAATTATGAAGATATGTCATCATTTTTTTGTCTATATATTTTGCTTTGAAATATCTATTTCTGTTTTGTTAATGTCGATTAGTAATTAAATAATTTTGCGTAAACTAACAGCACGCAGTCTCATTTGGCTTTAACAAGCATATTTTTAGTATACTTTTGTAGCAGTAACAGATAAATTGCGCGTAAGCTTTTCAGTACCAACACCATAAATAAACTACTTGCGTTTCCTACCTGCAACTTCCTCAAAATCAGATTCATCCGTATCCCCACCAACGACAGTTGATGTGGGTCGTGTTTTAACATGCCGCTTTACACGAGTTGATTTTGTCTTACTCAGTTTAGATGGGCCAATATCAAGTTTTTGCTCTTTGTCACCTGAATCGCTATTCAAATTTTGCTTTTCGCCCAATGCTAGCAATGCATTGACATCCATTTGTGCAGTAGTGCTGTTATCAACTTCTTTATTAGCCTCTTTTTGAATATTTCGTTTATCAATTGTTTCCTTTATACGTTCTAAACTGCTAGCGTTTTCAAGTAATTGACGAAAATCAAAAGCTTTAGCTTTAGTTTTCTCCTCGCCACTTGTATCATTATTATCTTCTGAACCAGAATCTGATAAATTTCCGGTAACAAAACAATTATCATTTGGCGCTGCTGAAGTCAGTTGTATAGGTTGCATTTTCTTATGCACATCGAAGAAACTAGAATGTAAATCTAATTCATTTGCTTTAACAAAATAATTATCAACACTAGAGTCACTGCTGGAGTCATTAAGCACTTCATTATTGCTCTCATTGGGCGTTCTTAAGTTTTTTGAAGCCGTACGTGATGTAGATGCTGATGGTGAGTTGTGTCCAGCACTATTTGGTGATGAAATAGTTTTAGGAGGAGGACGATATTTATTGTACAATTTTGTACGTAGTGATTGGCCTAAAGGTTTTTTCCTTTTAGCTACTGCTTTATTAGCGACCCCTCTACCCTTTGTATCTCTGCACAACACATAAATAAACACAATAATATATTCTAATTACTATTTGCATATAAAATAAACATACCTCTTTTTATTAGAAGCATCACTTCGTCCTGCCCCAACATCCGCATCTTCATACTCACTATCATCATCATCTTCATCGGAGGATTCACCTTTGGTTTTCTTTGACGGCTTCCATTCATCTTCACTGGCAGAAAATCCCTCTGACATTGATTCTTCTTCTTCGTCTGACATTTTTTTTTTTTAATATTTATATACAAATAGTATATTGCATTTAAAAGTGACTCCTGCGAATCCTAGATATTGATTTTTAAATGTTACGGTAGACGTGCAAAATGTGGGTTCTTTATCAATACAGTAGAAATATTAGATACAATTTGGTTAAAATTGGTTGTTTTTAAAACAATTTGTAATAATCTACATGGCGCCCGTCTTTTAAATTGTGAAATTATTTCTGCTGTATATGTGCGAAATTATAAAAAATAGCGTCTTTTTTCAATATTTTGTTCTCTTCTTTGACATTCGCCTTAGTGATGTAGAAATATATTTCATTTATATATATGAAAAAGTTGTGCATACGAATTGTACAAGCTATGTAACATAAAAGTATTTACTTATAAAAATATATATGTTGACAACAAAGAAGATATTCTCTGGTTGACAAATTGTAGATGTGTTTCTTACGCCGTTTTCGATTGGTTAATCTGGATTCAATCTAGATGTAATCTCGATCTCTCAACTTTTGTTATCCAATCGAATATATTTAGAGTAATCCAACATTTTTTTAGTCATGTTAGTAGACATTTATATATCTCACAAATACTATACTTGTAACAAATCATATCACAGTTTATTTGTCATATCATATAAAACAGTTGTTAAAGTTAGGGTAATCTTACTATTCGAGGAAAATATTTAGAGTGTTACAAATTAATCTCGAGTGTTATACATTTCGCCACACATTTACCAATCGAAAATTAAAATTAATAAAATTACTTTAGATTTACCAATCAAAAACCCCATTACTCTCACTGAATGTTCTAGTTGAGTAGAGTAACATCAAATAATGTTCTTATAGCCAAACCGTGGTGTTTACGCTAACTTCTAACTAGTCGTGTGAACAAAACCTTATGATATGTTACTTTATGCATCATATCATCTTTCGATATGTTATCTGTACGGGTACAAGAAATACAGTTAAAACTATTTTATTGATACGCAAGAGAAAATCGAACAAATTTGTAAATATTGTTATTAAATGTTTTTCTCATTAAATCAGTTTCAGACTAAACTGATTCGTGCTTTTTCAAATGTGAAGTAATAACTCTCAGTAACAATGTCTGATCACGTTCTATTGAGGTTGTGTCCCCAATAAAGAAAGAACAAAAAATACTAATAATTTAGTATAAAATGTACAGATATAAGAACTAGTGCCATAAAAACTCATATAAACTCCATTTAGATATCTCTCTCACTGAAAAATAATGCATAAATATGAAGTGATCTTTTCAAATGTATATTTTTAAAGTATTTCATTAACATAGAAACCTTAGTTTATTTTGTTATTATTATGCAAATATTTTATTTAAATATATTTAGTGATTTTATTATGTTATATTTTAATAAAATACTAATTTGTTTATATGCTATGCAGGTTTAAAATATTTACATCACTAAAAAGCTGTTATGTAACGAGTCTCGAAAACTGTCAAATGGTGAAGTGTGCTCAAGTGCTATTTTTTAAGGATGGGAAACAGAGCATTAACAAAAATAAAAACCGGATTAACAAGGGGTAAACTTAATTTAATAAATTATCAATTGTTGACATCATTAAAAAACTAAAAAAAAACCTGTTTGGTCTCTTTTAGAGTTTCTAACGTCATCTATTCTAAACGGTGCTAATAGAGTTAAAATGAACAACTTTACTCCGGAATATTTGGAAGGCAAACTTAAGAGCGCATTGGGAGCACAAGTTGTGCATGCTATTGACGAGTCTGACGGCTGTGGCGCAAAATTCAGCGTAATCGTTGTTTCGGAACAGTTTCGTGGCAAAACGTTGTTGCAAAAACACAAAATGGTTAATTCGGCACTAAGCGCAGAATTAAAAGAGATACACGCTTTTTCTCAAAAGACATACACTCCAGAAGAGTGGGAGAAAGCGCAACAGAGTTAAAATATAAAACAATAAATTAAACATATAACATTTGAACAGCGAATCAGTCAGCAAAAAACCAAACAGCAGTAGACGTAAGGAAAGTGAAAGCAACTGTTGCAAATTAGTTGAAATTGTGTTTTGAAATTGATAAAAAGCACGAAAATATATATAAAAATAATTTAAGACTCCATAAGTTTGCAAAACAATTACAAAACATTATTTTAGAAAAAATTGTAAAATTTACAATTTAAATTTGTAGCTTAGAAATAGATAATAATTATATGCATTGACTTTTGACGTGTTATTTATCGTAAGATCTAGAAATCTCAAATTTCCATCTAAAAGAGAAGTTATTTAATAATTTTTGTTACGATGCAGAAATTTCAAATAAAATCTCCAGGAAAAGTTATACTTCATGGAGAACATGCAGTTGTATATCAAAAACCGGCTTTAGCCGCAGTTGTCGGGCTTGCCACAAATCTGCAGTACCGCCCACTACCAGAGAGTCAAACAGCAACAATAAAATTAGATACATTGAATTGTACGCTAGAAATTCAATTGGAGCAGTTCAATGCCTTTCTGTCAGCATTTCGTGCAAAATACCCCAGTGAGAAACTCGAATGTACTGCGAAACTACTTGAAGAAGTACGCGCTGAAGTAGCTAAACAGTTAGACAATTCCGTTACATCATCAGCTAAACAACAACACACAAATAAAGCATTTCTATCAATCTATTATCTCCTATCAGGAGCTATTATCTCATCACCACAAAATGGCCTAAAATTGCAAAGTGGTTTTCAGTTACATATTGATTCAGAGCTTAGTATTGGTGCTGGGCTTGGCAGCTCTGCTTCATTTGGGGCAGGTATAGCTACAGCATTTCTAATATTGGCTGGTCACTTTGACAAAGTAACTTATTTGCAAGAAGAAAATCAGGCATTAATTTCACATTGGGCTTTTGAATCAGAGCGTGTCATGCACGGCACTCCTTCTGGTGTAGATAATACGGTTTGCACTTACGGCGGCATGTTACGTTTCACCAAAGGACAAGGTTTCCAACCATTAAAAATACAGAGACCCCTAAATATTTTACTTGTAGACTCTCGTGTTAATCGCAGCACTGCCGATATAGTAGCTAATGTACGTCATTTGTACGAAACATTTCCGAAAGTATTGGATTCCATATGGAGTGCCTGTGAAGAACTTGTAGCTGAAGCTGTACCACTTTACGAAAATTTTGGAAATGGTAAAGATGATAGCGAAAAATTTGGAAACCTTGAGCGTTTGTTTCAAATAAACAATGATTTAATGAAAGCTATTGGCGTAACTCATCCTAAGCTGGAACAAATATTTACGATATCATTCAAACGTGGATTTTTCAGTAAATTAACTGGTGCTGGAGCGGGGGGTTATGCCATTGTTTTGTTGCCTGAAAACTATCAAAGCAATGAAGTTTATGGTAAACTTAAGGAGGAATTGGAAGCAGCTGGATTTGGAGTGCAAGCTACAACTGCAGGTGGTGAAGGTTTACGCGTGGAAGACCTTGATTAAAAATTCGTTTTAAAATATTAAATGTTTAATGAAATGCTTTATTTTTTTCTTTAATCTTTCAAGAATGGTATAATTTTGTTCTGCTTTATAAGGTACTTAATAAAAATATCTCATTAATTAAATATTAAAAAATTTCTACATTTATTATGAAATGGTTAATTATAAAAAAGTAGCGGAGCCGTAGCAGCTATTTTCCATTATTTTTTTGTAATAATCGAATGTTTTAAATTTACAAATAGTTACTACTTAAATAGCATGTATACTGCGACGAAGATTAATTTCAATTACTCTGAGGGAATAGAAATCTACAAAATTATCTCTGGCTGGTATCTCTTGGTCGATATGGAATACCACGACTTTTCATTTCTCTCAATGTTGTTTGTGGTAGATTACCAGACACTGATATTGCATATATTCCACGTGTGAAACGTCCTATTCTCTGCCATTTAGCGACCCAAGAATCTTCAGGACTCATTAAAGCAATAATTCCGTCAAAGTTATTGCTGGTGAACTCGTACACGTTATCTTTATTATTCTTCATTCTTAAAAAATCATCACAGTTATCACATCCATCATATTCGAACTGATCAAAAGTCTGGAATGAAAAATAAAATTTAACATGAATATGAGCTCTTAGATATCTTTAAATAATCAGAGACATAGAGAACAGAGCGTAACCAAAGTATAAAGTAAACGCACATTATGGAAAAGCAATAGTATTACCAAAATGATACATTTACTGTAAAATAAGTACTTTATCCTAGATATTCTCAATTTTAATCAAACAAACGCAAATACAGTGGTATTGGAAATTCCAATTAATATAATCATTCTTTCACTTACCTTAACTAAAGAGCAAACGAGACAGGCACGTAATCCCCTCAAATCCTTTGGTATTGTATCAAAAGACATTTTATTTAATATTATTATTAATTTTAATATTTATATTAATAAACTGAAGTTAAGAACGTCTCAAGCCAATAATTTTTCGAAAGCAAATGTTATGAACGATCGAATGTTTGTCAACTACTCTAGCATCCGTAAGCAAAGTCAAGCCAGTGTTGAATACTGCCACAACGATTTTTTTTCAATATATATACCCGATGTTGGGTACAGACAAATATCGTTCCATACAAGAGGGTTTGTTATTGTTGTTATTTTTTATTGAAAAATTAATATTTCTTGGAAATCACACGCTAGTATTTGATGGTAATGTTCATTTAAATACATAGAAATAACATAATCCGACAGGTAAAATATATATTCACTTATATTATAAGTTATAACGTTCATTTGTACACTAAAAATAACAATCTGGCAGGTAAAATTAATTGTTTCCGTTGTATATTTCTATCGTTCTACCTGATATGCCACTGCTAAGCCGATTTTTCATTATGCATATAAATTTGTAATTGTAAACAAATAGATTTCACATGAAAAAGTTATAAATCTTATACATGATATATTTTTAATATGGAATTAAGTATTTTAATGACTTAATATTTGAACACAAATTATATCCTGATTTACCTAATGAAAATTTTGGTCACATATCAATAATATGTGGCAGTTTCTATTTCGGTGTTATATACTATACAAACAAAAGGAAGAACAAAAACATTAATACTAAGAAATTATTAATAGTATAACAAAATAGTTATTTCACTTTTAAATACATCATATGGCAAAATCAAATATCTTATGACGAAAACAAGTGTGTGATAGATCTGGAAAACCGTGTTAATTTGTTTTATTGATTTATTATGAATATATATAGATTTATTATTTATAGATTTATTACAAATATATATAGTGAACTACAAATACAAAAATTATTTTTATACTATTTTAATAAATTAAATCTTTGGCTGACCATACAGCTTTTACGAGTATTGCCAAGTACCCATTATCAGTGGTCTTGGAAGTATTTCTTATATTCAATTTTTCGTAAATAACTTATAGCCGTACTTGACTTACATGTTTGAACTTAAAGTTTTTTGTTAATTTGCTGCGAACATTCTCATGTTATTTTATAGTTATATTAACAGTTGATATATAAATTAGAACATTTTTTTCTCTATTATAACTTATATTTACTCTATGTGAATCCACTAGAATCACCTCTTAGAAATGCAAAATGGACAATGCCGAAACCCCTTCTCGGTAATTAATTAAATTAAATGAGTAATTCTAATTAATTAAGGAAAATTTATAAAATGAAAGATACACCAAAAAAAACTAGAGGGATTAATATTAAAACAATAAATTTATCTAAGTGAAAATTGTACACAAGTGAGGGTTAAAAATAAAAATGTTAATGTTGAGATATTGTAAATGACTACGGGCCTTTTTCACAGTTGTAACTTAAGCTTCAAAACTGATTTAAGTATAAATTATGCCTGTAAAGTCGATGATTTAAGTCAACGAGGAAACGTGAATTATATAATATATCTTGTACTAAGGCGCTTGCATAAAATCTATCTTTAAAATTATGTTTAATCAGAGCAAATATATTTCACCTTTTTGTAGCATCAATTAGAAAATTAATATAAGTGTATCGGAATATGAACCATAACTCCTCACAGTATGAATGGAGTATAATAATCATATTACCGTCACCAACACTGAAAATTGGATTTCCAATTCTTAACACTATATTGGTTTTGACAATTTGCAATATTTATAAGTTAAAAGTTTTTAAAAGAATTCTTGTTTAATTTGGTAGAAAATATTCAAAATTAAATGTGTAATAAATAAAAAAAAGTAAAAATCGGAAAATCACATTAAAATAAACAAATATCTATATATAGAACTTATTGTTAACAAATAGAATATGTCTGTTTTTGGCGGCAATACATCGTTAGGCGCTAGTAGCACACCGGTTAAACGTATGTACTAATTACTATATAAAAACAAACTTACGAAAAATAATATTTGTTTTATTTTTTTTGGAGGTGACCACAGTTAAAATAATGTAAATGCATGTTTATGTATAAGTGATATTTTATATATTTTATCCAATGTTAGATTTTACTTGCAGGAAAGTGATTCTGTGACCTTTCCAATGAAATAGTTATTTTATTATTAACACGTGCCCAAATTGTGAATATAAAGTATAGTATTATTCATATTTATTTACATATAGCATGAGTTAAAGACCCAAGAGTTCACTACTCAATGATTTTTCAGAAACTAAACAATTTATTTAATTATAAGTTACAATGTAGATTAGGCTGCCTTTTCCAAATATTTAAGCGTGTTATCCTTAGTTGGAGGTGTTAGCAATCTTTTGGCATCATTAACTGTATGTACACGTATATCCTTAATGTTTATTCTGAAATATAAACTAATTAATTCAGTTTATAAAATACTTTTGTTATTTCAAAAATTTACTTCTTTTTATGAAGCACAAGGCCAACATAAATTATTGCGGAAAGAATTGTAAAAATAATAATTAAAAATACTGTACTCATTTTTGTAAGTAAAATATAAGAAACTGAATATTCTATACTCAAGCTACAAATGAACTCTTTCAGTTCTGATAACAAACTAAAGGTCTCAACAAAACAAAATTATGATTTCCTCTGATGAAATTTATTGGTATTGAGCGATAAGAGCAAATCTTTTATAGAATGCTTACAGCGTCGTACATATTTACTTTTGAAACAAAACTAAACAATTATTAGACCGCCCTTAATTAAGCCTCTTTCATCTGTAAGTTAAGTGCATTCTAAAATATTTATATGTGACAAATTTACTTTATAGAATAGTTATTTATATACGTATATAAATATATTTATTTGAGAGTTTTTTAAAATATGTAAAAAAAACCTAAATAAACTTTCACTTTCATATAGCCGGAATGTTTTCATCTTTTGGAGCAACTGCTGCTGTAGCACCAACTTTTGGAGCTACAGCTACATCAACTGCGGCACCACCCGCATTTGGGACAACATCAGCATTTGGCACGACGACAGGTACTTATTAAGAAACATAATTATTTGATAAATATAGATTTTTTACATATTCTTTATGATCCTATTATCTTCATCTAATTTAAGACGAATATAACATTTTTTAGTTCAATTAGACTTTTATGTTATGCATATAACTAATAAAATTTTAATAATTTCTAGGTTTCGGAGCTCCTGCAACGTCTTTAGCTCCTACATTAGGTGGTTTTGGCACACCTGCCGCAACAAGCGCTCCCACATTAGGAGGATTTGGTGGTTTTGGTACAAATACAGCAACGACAAGTGTACCTACATTAGGCGGGTTTGGCGGTTTTGGTACTAACACTGCAGCAACTTCTACTGCTCCCTCGCTCTTTGGTGCGGCGTCCGCAGCTGCTGGTACAAGTTTTGGAGGTTTCAATACTGCTACCTCAAGTGCAGCACCAACATTTGGAGGTTTTGGTACTAGTACTACAAATACTGGTTTTGGTGGATTTGGCGCAACAGCAACGACATCGACAGCACCAACATTTAGTGGTTTTAACACACAAAGCCAAGGTTTTGGAGGATTTAATTCTAGTAAATTTGTAAAATTTTAGCAATTGTTTTTATATAAAATATTTTTTTTTCTAAATGTTTAGCCTTTGGCAAACCAGCAACAAGTACGGTAACCCCTGGATTTGGCGGCTTTGGTGGCAATACTAGTTTTATGCTGGGCCAACCGCAACCACCAGTGCAACAAATTTCACCAGATGAAGCATTTGCACAGTCGATTTTCAATGTCGCTATATTTGGAGACGAACGGGACACAGTGATCGCTAAATGGAATTATTTACAGGCTCTGTGGGGTGTTGGTAAAACGTTCTACTCTCAAAATGCTCCACCTGTTGATATAACGTCAGAAAACTATTTATGTAGATTCAAAGCAATGGGATACAGTCTTTTGCCCGGAAAGGAAAATAAATTCGGTTTAGTCGCCTTAAACTTTAACAAACCTATAACTGAAGTCAAGTAAGTTTTGGAATTGTGTTAATATGTTTTAAATTTTAGTTTTCTGTATTATATGCTTTAATATGCTATAATTTTTAGAACACAGCAAAATCAACTTGTAGCAACACTCAATTCAATATTAGGCAATAAACCCAATTTAATTGTTAATATTGAAAATATAAGCAGTATTGATGAAAAAAAGTGTCAAGTAGTTATTTACGTAGAGGAGAGATCGCAAATATCGCCAAACGAAACCAAACGTGTGCTAGCAACTGATCTTAATAACTACCTAAATCAACAAAACGTAAGAGCACAAGTAAATAATGTTGGTGTTATAGACTTAATAGCGCTAGTACAACCTGATGAAGATCAACTAAAAGAATATCTTGATACCCCACCAAAAGGAATTGATGCCAGAGTATGGAGACAAGCGAAACTAGATAATCCGGATCCAGCAAAATTCATACCCATACCAATGATTGGATTTAGCTCGTTAAAACATCGTATAAAATGTCAAGAAGCTGAAAATGAGAGACATGCCCTATTTTTAAAAAAAATTGAAAACGACTTTTCTGTGTTAAGACAGAGACATGCGATAACTACAGCAAAAATAATGGAACATAAACGTAAACTTGCCACTTTAAGTCACCATATATTAAAAGTATATTCATTAATTATATTTTTAACTGATTTATACTAAAGTTTAGTATTTTATTAATTAAAAGGTTATTGTTAAACAAGAATGCACGCGTAAAGTAGGCTTACCTCTTACTCCCGAAGAGGAAGCATTGCGCACAAAATTGGAAAATATGCAAGCTCTGGTTTCAGCCCCAACACAGTTCAAAGTATATAGACTAATTTCATAATTTAAATATTTATAATTAATTTTTTATATTTTTGTTGCAATGTATTTAAAGGGTCGTTTAAGTGAATTACTTTCTCAGTTGCGTATGCAAAGAAATCATTATCAACACAGTATGGGTGAGTACACACTGGACAAAGATAGTGCAGAGGATATGAAAGTATTTCTAGCTATGCAGCAGAAAGCTATACAAACAATTACTGAAACAGTTGTCAAGGATATCAAAGCGTTACAAATTATTAAGGATGGTTTACCTGAACTTATGCGCGGTTAAATTCATTTATTATGAATTTTGTTAGCTTTTACTTATAAATCGTATAAAAAAACGAAATTAAATGTTGAATTTAAATTAACTTTGTTTAAAAATTTACAATAAAATTTATAAGGAATCAAAATATAGATAAAAAAATTGTGTAATAACTAGTGCTTCAAGTTTTTCGACATTGCGATTCTCGAGTATCTCGAACAAATTCGAAATTATGCTTGAGTCGAATAATCATAGTCGACACATCCAGTGCAAATAGAAGCGAACGTTGTAGTGGAGGAAGGTTTAAACATTTGGAATAGTATTTAAAGTTCTGGTTACAATTATTATATGTGTCTAAAGGCTTCGTTAGTGCCATACGAAAGTGATAACGTTTATTTATTTCGAATTCATAAAAATAATATTGTTATAAATTATTTAATAAAAGCGAAAGTAGTTTGGAATTACTTTAGTTAACTATATGGGGATTGCGTACGCCCGTCTATTTATTGACCAAATTAATTTGTTCTCTATTTATTTAAAGGCTCGAATGATTGATGTTGGTATTTCCTTCACCTCGACATAAGCTAGTATCAGTTAGTACTCAACCTCAACCCTTCTCTATCCACACACTACACATATTCTCCTCTTTAACATCGCTTGACACTCTATCCCAGCCAATGCATACATTTTGTAATTCATTTATGTTTTCTACACTGTGGATCTTCTTATTTTACAACAACTACAAATGTGGATATTTTGAATATATTATTTCCAAAGAATTTGGAATAACCATATGCCATACATCTGTTATGAATAAGTGGGAAAAATAGGAAAAGAATAATAGCCGTCCTTCTGACGCAATTAACGTTAAAAGTTTTTCGGCAGTTTCGTCGAATTTGCCACTTTTTGAATGAAATAAATGTTGTATAGTTTCCTCTGCGTGATTTCTAACTGGTACCGTTCAATACATTCACACCTCTTCTTATTATGCAATGGGTAATCGATCTAAGTAGGGTGATATTTATTCTTTTTAAACTTGCAAGGGTTTTTGTTATTGGGTCATTTTTCTTTTTTTGTAGTAAGTGTGCCTTGAGATATTTATTTAAAGATTTATTTAAATTTTAAGTACTTTTTTAAAATTACAGTTTAAAACCTAAATATATGTATATCTTGGCGTAAAAATCTTTTTAGAGTAACAGGCCGTGATGTAGTAATATTTCTTTAATCACATATTTACATTGTTCTATATACACCACACCTCTTCTCCAATTATATATTTCCAGTGCTTTACTATTTTAAACCCAAATAGCGCTCTGACATTAGCTTGTTCTGTTGCTCCATTTGTTTTTTTTCTGTCTCAGTTTTAGCTATTTTATTTTTCTGTTGTATAGAGCTAGATATTTTTTAGTGTCTAGACTTTTCATTTATAAATAATGGTCTCACATATGCACATTTTTTCAAAAGCTTTAAACGTGCAAAGTAAGCTCTTTTAGCTACAGATATTCGCTTCAATATGTTCAGATTAAAGAGGGTTTCATTTTTTATCTAAATTGTAATATTTCAATTTTGTAGATTGCGATTATAACTATTTAGTTATAGTACATCTGTGTTGTCGGGACCGATATGATAGTCATAACTTACGTCTCATACTTAAGTATGAATTAAGTCAGCAAAATTTATATTTCAAGTATGACTTAAGTAAGGATTGAGACTTAAGTTACGACTGTGACAACGACACTAACACCTCTTCATACTATTTTAATAAATCGAAAATTAATATGTATTAAAATTATAGTTCTTATAAGAACTAATTTTTAATAAACTTTGCAATGACACAACACAGTTAAGGTTCCCGGAATACTGCCTGTACAATCAGGAACTAATAACTTGTTAATTATGACATTACAATATTGTCATTTAAACCATAATAGAGCAATGAAGTTGAGGATACATTTCTAAAAATTATATCAGTGGATAAAGTATATTTCCTGTTGTCTATTTTGAGTGTTGCAGCTTTTTCTGCAACTGCCACACAAAAAATAACTTTGAACTTGCAAACTGCAGCAACCATAATTCCTCGCTCCTAAGTGAACCAGTCTAAGCCACTTTTTGCGTGCTGCGATTGAAGTTATGCAGTTGTGTTAGACGTTTTATTATGTTGGTGGCAATGATCTCGTGTGATGAATTATATTAACGGCACACTTTCAGCTGTAGTCTTGCAAAAAATTTCACTTTCAAATACAACATAACATAAGTGGTTTATTTTCCAGCTGACAGTTTCTGGAAGTCATTCATACGTTGCCATTCCGGCAATAGTTTAATTGGGCAAGCCACTACCACTGCAAGCAACTACTAAGCCGCCTAAAGGCCGCATCTATGCAAGTGTGGAACTTGCTTCAATGCTGTAGGTTTCTTGCTTTCTGGCGGAGTGGAATGTTCGCATTTCAAAACGATTGTTACAATAACATCATTACGATAACTTCGGATGGAATTAGTTGTGATAGCAGTTACTTATGTGAAACAAAAGCTTTCAATTGTTTAAATAATAGTTTTTCCTTCCATATATGAAAACATATTATGGATAACATAAAAGAAAAACACTTTCATCATTAAGTACTCCTGAAGATATAATGTCTGTTCCTTAGAATATTAATTTTAATTTAGTAAAGCCACCTATTAAAACTATTGTATTATCCACGGATATACTCTACTATTCTAACCAGAAAATAGATTTATATACTATTTGCGTTGTTATGTTATAACGAAATGGTACCTAAAAATCAACCACACATATCAAGAGCTGACTATATTTTTTTATTTAATAGTTTTTGTAATATCATTTGGTGTATGTTACGAGATCTTTTTGGTTCCACAAATTTTAAAAAAGAATGTTGGACTCGTCTTGAAAAATGCAGCATATCAACAAAGAAATAGAATGTGTGTTCAACACCTGGTTACTCAAGCACCCAGAACTCCTTCGATTTAAAAAAAAAAGAAAAATTAGTTTTGAAAATATTCAGACACAAGCAAAAAGGTTTTGCATTTAGCATCCCAATAACCTGCAGATGTCAGTACTTTTTTATCCCATCTTTTAACAATTAACACGACCAATTAAGAGCTGCAGCTTTACTTTTCGTGACCGTTTCATATCCCAACGCACTCACTAATTTGGTTACTACAGAATCAGTTAAGTGGTAGTGCAGGTTTTACTGTTTATCGGTCACATAGTAGTGACTAAAGGAACTGCATTTTTATTTTTTGAAGATCTCTCAATCAATATTATACACTCTATAAAGATATTCGTGTATTGGACGCAAACTTGTGCGTCCTTAAATAATATTTATAATGGACCCTGTTTATGGAAGCTTATCTGTGCTGAATTTACTAGCGGTGCCAATATGTTCTGGAACCAATATGATATAGAGGGATATAGAGGGATATGAATGAATGATATGAATACTATTCTTTCAAATGTATCTATTACAAAGTTTTCTGTGATGTGAGTATTGATGATCTAAATCAGCTTTGTACTGCTAAAGTGTGTGAAGTTTTTTGAAATTTTAATATCAACCTCGTATACTTTAGAGGTATACAAAGTATAAATGGTAAACTCTATTCTTAGAAGTGATCTATTGTAAAGTTTTCTATGATATTAATGTAAACTGGAGTCCGTTTAAAGTTGATTTTCTATTTCGTTAGAGAATATGTAGGAATTTTAAATTGTATTTGATTTTTATCAGAAAAAAGAAATATTCAAAACATGATTCTGTCACTTTCGGGCTTTTGTGGAATATTCTAACTGTATAAATTACAGTGATTATTTATAATTAATAAAGAGGCTAAAGTGAAAAAAAATAAAATGATATAAAAATATATATTATATAATAAATATTATATAAATAATATATTATTGTTAGGCGATAATTATATAGAATATTATAAATTAATAAGAATAAAAACGAATTTCTAAGCTTTTAATTTATTTTTTCACTTTAGCCTTTTTATTAATTATAAAGAATTAAAAAAGTGAACAAATAATTACTATTATTATGTTAATCAATTATATTAATTGTTATCATTAATTATTTGATACAAAATTTTTCGTTAATATAAGAATTCAAAAGACACATCGACGTTGGTTCCAGATGTAAACGGGTTACGCTTCAGCGTTTAAGTGATGTTTCATTACTTCTATTGGAGTCTCACTCTTCATAAGATATCTGTGTGAAACATTTTTCGATTGTAACATAATAAGGATGGAACTACTAGAGTGACATCAATAATTGTAAATCGATATCTTATTTTAATACAATTTAATTGTAGCAAATTGAAAATGTTTCGAAATAAATTTCGTAATAAAAAATCTAAAAGTAGCAGCGGTTAACGCTGAAGTGGAGTTGTGAGTTGGCTATTTGCTTTGGTACGAATTTTAAAACAGTCATTTGCTGCAGGTTTAAGTGGCTCCCATTATTAGTGACCATAAACTATGTGGAGACTTCCGAGCTTCCGTTAAGATTGCATTTAAAAAACTTTATGGGATTACGTTTGGGAAGTTTGAGCTTTAACGACCAGGTATATAAATTGCTCTGTGTATGGAAATTTCATTTATTTATATAAAGTATGTTGTCAGCGGATTACATGATAATAATTTGAATAAAGTGGAAATAGAAAGTGAATTTAATTGGTTAGCAATAATGAAAATAAAATTATTTTATGTGAGTAGTGGAAAAAACAAAATGAATAGTTTTGTTAAATAGATTTGCGTTAACAAATGAAAGAAAATAACGTAACGTATTTTTATATTTCAATTTGTACAGCTAATTTTAGTTGCCAGCGCAGTAACGGTTATTGAAACGGCACCTCCAACGAAACCCTTAAGTGATGTTTCAATTACAACTACAACACAAAGACAACCAGTTGAAGAAATTCAACTGGTTCAGCCTCATTTCATAACAATCGAAAGTTTGGAAACGTTGTTGAAACATGCCGGGGAAATTTTCCGACCAGAGTCTTATCAATTCGAACAGGCGAAAACTGAACACCAGGCAGAGGGTTCAGATAAATTGCATAAGCCTCATCAACAAATGCAGCCACCATTGGATCAACCTTACAGCTTTTATTTACCTTTATATGATTATGTTAATGATAATTTGGATGAGAAAAGTCGTAATATGGAAAAATTAGTGCCACCTCCATTGCCAAGTGATAATATCAATTATTATGCTACTAAACCAAAGAAATTACCAAAAAAATTTAATGCTGAAACGAAACAAGTCAATTTGAAATGGTTAAATAAGTATGAAACAGAAGCTCTAACAGATTCATCAAGACATTTGCCTGAGGGAGTTTATGTGGTCAATGATGAGCGAAGCCGAATAAATTTTGATGATTCTTTTTTTGGCGAAGATGTTGCAGTAAAATTTCCAGATAATCAGCCACATAGAACTTTAAAGAAAACCGTTTCAAAAACGAATGCCGATGGTTACCTTAATATGGGTGAAGAGTTATCAGAAGAGGATCTCCTAGCAGTTCCAGCATTACAATTTCCAAATGTAAGCATAGAAGGAAAAGTACAACATTAACATATTTTTGGAGTAAATTTATTAAATAATTAAAAAAAAATGTATTTTGTTTCTCTTGTTGAAAATTTTCATATTATTGTGTCTCACACTAACACTACTTAGTATTGTACTAAAAAGACTAACTAGAAACTAAATACTTAACAGTATTTGTTATGGCTTTGCTTAAAATAATATTATGCAAACATTATATATTGTAGATAAATTATTCGCTTAAATAAAAATATTTTTGTTTGTATAAAGTATTGTAATTCGTGGCTCATGCCAATTTAAAACTGCTGTCGTCCCCATGACTTCGACCATTTGGTCTAATGTTCCAATGCACATACCAATTTGATCCGTATTGATTATTAGCTCCGACCCTTTGTAGTGGCAAGGTTTCTTCTCATCGAGCGGGACTAGCTTCAATTAAGTTTCACTCACTTTTCATCTATTCCTTATTCCAAACAACTCCATTTCTTTTCACCCATTCCCTACACAACTCATATAATTGTATTTTGTAATATCTCTCTTCAAACTACAACAACATCAACAACTATTAAGATAGCGGGTTTCTCAATAATGCATTAGGATTAGCCATATACCGTAATGCGAATAATAAGCTTCCAAAAGTGACAAATTCTACATTCAAATCGTTCATTTCTCACTTATATCATTACAGTTTCACCGTTCCCAAACCCACAAATTATAACACAACATATATACAATTTAGATATATAAGTAAATTCATTTATTTATACAACAATTTAAGCATATAAAATATATTATCGCTTTGACTAAGTTAATAAAAATTTATATAAAAACTTATTTACTGAAAATAAATAAGTGACAGCAAATTATTGGATTGGAGCTTATTGGTATAGGCCAATAACGTTAACAAAATGAAAATCTAATTATTTTATTTTATTTGTACTATTCATTTCCAAATAATTTTTATAATTTAAAGCTGTTTAAAAAACAATATATAATTAATTATAATTTAAAAACAAAATGCATTGTATTAAAGCTTTAATGACTGGCAGTAGTGTTTTTTGAACGAAGTCAATTAAATGATTTTGGGCTTTATTAAAATTTAATAAGCTGCCACTGTACCTCCTGATAATTCTTGTCCAACTAAACCTTTTCGAACAACCTTTTCAATATCATCCAACAAACCAGATGCACCGAAACGAAATAATTTTGGTTGCAACCATTGCATGCCTAAAGTTTCCTTAACCAATGTCATCCATGTAATTGCTTCGCGTACAGTACGTACACCACCCGCAGGTTTTAAGCCAACAATTTGTCCAGTTTTACGTTGAAATGCCTGTATAGCATATATCATAACAAGACCAACAGGTATTGTTGCATTGACCGCTTCTTTACCTGTGGATGTTTTTATAAAATCTGCGCCAGCTAACATACAGGCCATTGAAGCTTTATAAACCTTTAACATAAATTAAATTTTATTTAAAATATTCAAAATTTAACAGAGGAGCACATACATTTTCCATACTACCCAGCTCTCCAATAGCAAGAATTGTTTTCAGGTGTGCCTTATTGCCACATGCTTTTCTCATTTCACATACCTCATTGTAAACGCCTTCCCAGTCACCAATTAAAGCTAATTGACGATTTATAACAATATCAATTTCACTTGCACCACTTTCGATGGCAAAGTTAATTTCTTGCAGTCGCGTTTCAAGTCCATATTGACCAGTAGGGAAACCAGTTGCAACGGCCGCAATTGGTATTACAGTTTCTTTATGCAATTGTTGAAAGGTTTTATATGCATCGGCTACCCGTGATGGATAGACACATACAGCACCCGTATGTATTTCTGGCTGTAGTTCTGGTTCAATCACCGATTCCAACATATGTAATGGAAATGGATATGCAGCTCGGTGACACAAACGACTTACATTGGCAGTCGTATCATCGCCAGCAAGTGTAGTCAAATCAGTTAATGTCAAAGCTTTAAGAGCCCAAACCACTTCATTGGAGCCGCTCACCTGACCGCGCGTTGAGATTTCTTTAGAAATTTCCTCCAACTGCCGCAATGATACGGTGATATCCAATAGACTTTTATCTTAAAAAAATTTAATATCATGTATATTATTTTATGGTAAAAACATCTAAAACTCACCAAATGGCAATATTTTGTTTACATCATCCATTTTATAATTTATTTATTATAACATTAAATTCGTTTTATTTTAAATTCAAAAATGTGATTTTATCAGGAACAGATAATAAATAATAAATTAAAGATCATTGATAATAAAATCAAGTTCGCAAGAGTAAGTGAAATAGATAGATATACGTTATTTTTTTCAACAAATTACCATATGTTTACTGTGGTGGCAATAAAAAGTGTCTAAGGTTAAAATTAAATCCTGTAGAAAGTAATTATTTTTCAATATTTGTAGTAATGGAATTAGTAATTCTACTTTTAACAAGATTTGATTACTTTATACATAAATATATATAACTAACCAAATATTTTTGGAAACAATAATAAAAGAGTAAATTTTGAAGATGCCCTCTTCAAAATAATTTTATATTTAAAAACGTTCTTATAAGTCAATATACAATGCATAAATTATTTCATACATAATTGAAGACAAACTTTCATTTATGAAGGGTTTTGTTGGTTCATTAGTTGTTCTTGCTATTGTAACCCGAAAAGACCTGCACATCGGGAAGGATAAATACAATACAGAATGAATCTGTAGATTCTGAATAAAAGCGGAGTCATGTGGCAGTATATAACACAAAGTAGTTGGAGTGTTAAAATAATAAGTAAACTATTTAAATTAATTTGTTTATTTACTTTAATAAAAGATATTAACATTTCTCTATTTATAGTGAAATTCTATTTAATAACTTCTTGGCATTATAAATAAATATTTTTTCTTTTACATTTAGACTAATACTTAGCAATACATATAATAGCAGTAAAATAGATTTAATAAGTACCTTCAATACCGATATTTAAACATTTTGCTTCGAGTTAAGTTATTGTATGTGCATCACATTTTAATGTTAAACTTTGAATTTATATTTAATATAAATTGATAATAATTAACAATTTAATTTGTACTCATGCATAAAAAAGTAAAAGATAAAATTATTACTGAATTTTGAACAAAAATTTTACAATTTAAAATTACATTTCATTCGTAAAATATAAGTATTTATGCCAAATTATTTCCCGAGGGATACTAACAATTTCGATTAAAATTTTGATGATATTCATAATGGAACTTAGCGATGCTTGGCCCATTGTTCCCAATATTCTTTTCTCTGCATTTCATACAGTCGAGATATTGTGCGGTCGAAAGCAAACAGTTCTTCTTCACCAGTAAATACGCTAGAAGTTGCATTTTGCTAAAATTTAAAACATATTTAATTAAGTATTTAAAGTAAATTCATTTAGCTTACTGATCCCTTCTCAATTTTTAAGTCATCCATTAGCACGCGCTGGTCATCAGCTAAGTCTGTTGGCTTGTCAATAACATTAAAAAGGTTATCTAAAGGTTTTTCCGCTGATATGACAACTCTTACTCTATTGTCGTATAGTGTGTCAATAAGTGTTATGAACCGACGCATTTGAGATTTTTTGTGTAGATTTAATTCAGGTACATCGCGTATTAGAATAGTGTGAAAGAACTGTGCTATTTGTATATAATCACTACTAGCCAGCGCCTGTAAAAGAAATACTCCTTAAAATTTGCTAAGTAACTAATTTGTTTTTATAAATCTTACCCTATCACATAATTCGGTGAATGTACTATCTAAAACCTGACCACAAGTACGTTGGAAAGTCAAGTCTCGCCCAAAATGAGTTATTGTGCGCGGACGTATGATATCGTTTTCTTGAGCACAAAGAATTTTAAACATACGATCCATTTCGGCTGCTGCATTTGTTTGTGAAGTTCTAAAACAAGAGATGGCATTACTTTACGATACAATTAACATTGTTTATAGATGGAAGTGTGATTATAATGTCATTATAAGTGATTAATCAACGATCAAGTTACTAGATTGATTTAAATACTTACACAAAGAAATTTGTATCCCCAGATTGAGCTATTCGCCGGTAATCCACTCCATTGTCCAAATTATTGACCGTACATCGATTTAACAATAAACTTATGAATGGTACAAAATTGCTTCGCTGTAAACCATTTTTGTACAGGTCATTTGGATGTCGATTACTGGTTGCTACAATAATAATGCCATAGTTGAAAAGATGTGTAAATAAACGTTTCAGAATCATAGCATCTGCAATATCAGTGACTTGAAATTCATCAAAACATATAAGCCATGATTGCGATGCAATAATTTGAGCAACCGGTCTCGTTGGATCAAACGGTTTTGAGCTCTTTGCTTCAAAGCTTCGTTCGGTAGGACCTTGCTGCAGTTTTGCTTGATGTATAAGTGAATGCACGTTTGTCATAAAACTATTGAAATGTACACGCTGTTTTTGAGGTATCTGTTCAATAAAAATCAATAAAAATACCAATTAACAATGAATTAATAAATAAAATGTATTACTTAATATATGTAATTACATCTGTACAGCACTCATAAAACATGTCCATAAGTGTTGTTTTTCCACCACCAACGCTACCATATATATAAAGACCTTTTGGTGCATGACTTCCGGCATTAACGTCATCTACTGCTATATTATCATCACCAAATAATTTGCCAAAAAATCCGCCGCCACCTCCTCCTCCATTACTGCCTACACTTGGCACATAACCTCGTATTGTTAAATATAGATTTTCAAGTTCATTGGTCGTCTGTTTTTGTGCTGCATCGGGCAACAATTGGCCGGATGACACTCGACTTTCATATGTCGCTTTAGGGCTTGCAAAGCGTTTTATTTTGAACTGTTTAGCAAATGATTGAGCAATAAGGTCCAACAGTTTCTTATTTAATTTCGAACCCTGCACCACATTTCTACCGACCTTGACCGTGAACATTGTTTTTAAAGATTTCTCAAGTTATACGTGATTTATAAGTACTTTGATATAAATATTTATGTATTTTTATATTGGCAAAATATTTGTCAACTTATTTCCGCAGACATATTATGTAAATCTGTCGCTGTCCCCTCGAAAATAACCAAACTAGTTATTACCTCATTTCATAATTTCTTCGATTAAATATTTAACATTTGCAAATAAATGACAGCTGTTGGCTGTAATCAATCAGCTGTTACAATATTAAGTGTTGCAAAACGTCTGCAAGAGTGCAGTACCTTAAAAGTACGTTCAAGAAGAAATTTGCTTATAGCACGTTTAACTTAGAATTCATAATATCATAAATTTTAATTCATACAATTGATGGTATGTGCTGAGAAAAAATTATGACAAACGTAAAATAATTGTTGCGGCGTATCATATAATATAGCCTTACTATTCACGGTTGCATTTGAATTTTTCATTGAATTTATTTATTAATATAAATCACGACACCTAAGTGGTTTGTACGGAACCCAATTTTATCCAGATCTCATTGATTTGTACACGGAATGAAATCAGGAGGTATAAAAACAAAATAATTTGTTTCATTTATTATAATAAATTAAAACGATATCTTGAACATCTTTAATTCATAAAATATAGTACTTATCGAACGCACTGTTGTGTATATAATGCGTTTTTATCTTTTCTGTTTGGTCACAATATATGAAATACAGACAAATTTTTATAATGCGAAATACTATTTTGCAAAGAAAAGGTTCGGCTTAAGAGGACTTCGAATTAAAGAATTTTGTTGTGATTGTATGTAATTTGCTCTCTAAACCCTGTTGCACTCCATTTAGTTCGAATTATAGAAAATTCGAGTTATAGAAGTTCGACTTATGGAAGTTTGACTGTATTTACAAAACAAAAAGACAGAAATCAAAGGAATATATATATACAATTAAATATAAAAGTAAAAATGACTTTATAAATAATTTATTTTGATATTATATTACAAGTGACCAAAATCATATAATTAAAAAATAAAACCTGAGAATTATTATAAAATAAATAAATACTTAATTAAGATTTAAATTTAATACTAGTATCAACGCTGTAATTAAATTTAAATAGCAATTTCTCTTCAACTTTAGTGCAAAAGAAGTATAATCCATAAAAGTCTTATGTACAGTTTTGACTTGTTCTGTTGGTTCTAAACTGTTATTCCAGGTTGTAGTTTCTACGAAATTTTCTGGAATTGGAAAACAGTAAATACGTTCTACTTCAATAAGTTCGTCCATTGCGCCCATTGCTTTTTCCTGAACCGTAACTGGTACACATATTTTTGGATCCTCAATCAATGTAAAATTTTGATATGGTGTACCAATCTTTGTAATATTATCGGGAATTTGTGCCAGTAAAGCATCTTCGACTTCATGTATGTTTAGAATTGGAGGAGCTAATGTAGAAACTGCCATATAATTATTAGTCGACTCTGTTGTTTCCATCATAACGACATCATTTCCGTCTTCAGCCATAAAATCAGTTGGCCAATTTTTAACATTTGTTGTTTCGTTGTAGTCACTTTGGTTTTCCTCTTGGCTTAGCTGTGTCTTTAGTGTTGTTTTTGTTGTTGTTGGATATATATTGAATTCTGCTGAGTGATTAATTTGATTGGCCATTTTAACAAATAATGGATCGGTAGAGTTAAGATTTATTACTTTTATAGCGGCAAGAGTATTTTTCATTTGTGCCGTTGGAATTGTAACTCCCTGATTGGAATACGTGTGTTGTTTCAATTTTTTATGATATTTTGGAAGTTGAGTCTGTGAGTTTGAAGTTTGTTTATGATTTGTTGGAATAGGATGACTTATACCCATTGGTTCAATGAGTTCATCTGAAACATACAGAAAATTAAGCACAATGTAAGTACAGTTTATAATTAATAATATATTATTAAGTTATTTTACAAATTATACACAATATTTTTATCGAGAAAACAAATTATAATTTCCAAAACATATATATTATATTATCAATACATACTGTATTATATATAATATATTGTTTTTAGTAGTACTTAATGGGAATTGGTTTGTCTCTGTAGTTTGTTTATATGAAAAACTGCAAAAGTAGCACTTAACCATAATTGGTTAGGATAGCAAAGAATTATGGTGTTAACACAATAAATAATAAATATTATTCTCCGGCTTCTATTATATTATATTTACATACTATACTGTAAGGTAAAGTTAGTTTCTTTGAATGGTTGTAAGTTTAGCATTGATCTATTGTTCGCAAATGATATCATCTAGAGTTGAATGTCTAAGTAGAGAGATGCCGTAGTAGACATTTTTGTGAATTTAAGGAGTGCTTGAAGCTTCTCCACAGAATCATCCAAAACCTTAGTAGAATTAGAATCCAAACCCTGCGTAATAAAGTTTCCAATACCAAGTAGTGTTATTTATTTTAATTTTTGCTAGAAAATTAATCTCTTTAAATCTAATAAGATTTTGAACAAGATATCGAAATGTGGTATCGGTAAACTTTCTGTTACTGCATTATGTTAAAAGCAAATTCCACATTGAAAAAACACAATATATTTCAAATCAAGAAGTCTTTACCGGTACCTTATAATAATAAAAGCTTTCTTTTAAAGTTTACAACATTAACCTCTATTTATAATAAAAACTATTGGAGTTATCGGACGATTATGTGTCTGAGTGGAAGTGCTGATAGTTATTTAAGCATGCGTATTATAAAGTGATGAAATTCAAGGTCCTCTGTATCCTAGTTCTATGTTCGGTATGCCGAACATATGTTAAATACAGATCCTTATGTGGAAATTTGATTGGAAAGAGTTGAAAGATAAAAACTGAAATGAAATTATTATTCTTTTTTTTGGATAAAAAAAATATAGCGATATTTAAATTGCTATTATGTGGTATGTTAAGTTTTCTGGAATACCACAATAATAGTTAAAATCTTTAGAGTAGAGTTGTATAGTTGAAACCTGGGAAATTAATAAAAGATATATGTTAAAACAAAATTGGATATTTTTGAAAGAATAGTACTAAGTCCGATGATGACTTGGTATATGAAATACCTCAAAAATTGGATATTTTTGAATATTTTCTATTATAATATAGAACGATTATAAAACATATTGTATTTATATATGTATATATAAATAGTTCTTTCAATCAGAAAAATCAAAAAAAAATGCATGAAAACATTTTTCAAATAAAACATTTTTAAACAAATACCATGCAAAGCTGCTTAAAAATGGGTAAATTAAATGAAATCATTTATAAATCAAACATTTAAAGTTTGGTATTTATTATTATGGTATTTTATAATAATTTTTAAAACTGATTTTTTTTCATTATTAAGTAACTAAATAAATAACATGCCAAACTTTAAATGTTTTGTTTAATTACTTACCAATAGGATTATCGGCAGCCTCTTCAAATGAATCATCTACACGTCGTTGTACTGTATATTGATTTTCAGCTGAATATTCAACAACATCATCAGGTTGTAGTGGCGCTTCCGGTTTCCAAGCTCCATAAATTATAGAATCCATTGCATGTATACCATCAGCAGCTATGACACCAGTACCCGATTCAAGTTTGTACTTCTGCAGTGATGGTGTGACTGTAGTGCCTGGTATTTGCATAGGAGCCACAGGATTAACAATTGGTTTCCAACCTACCGATAATTCCTTGTTATTCACAGCAGTCGTTTCAGTGACAAAAGGATAAAGTAATGGTTTAATTGGTGGTGGTACAGGATTGAAACCTTTAGGCAGTCCTATCGTTTCGGGTGTTATATTTGCATATATCGTTTCATTGAAATTTGCAGACGATGATCGGTTTTCCTCAAAATAATTTCGTTCTGGTGCAGCTTGTGGATTAAAGCCATTTGGCAATTGTATTGTAAAGGGATTCGTTGCATGTTTCGCACTTAGTGTTCTATAATCTTCAGTCAATTCTCCTCTCATGTATTCATTTACCGGTATGCGTAACGCTGCAGACACCGGAGTGGTGACATTTCCGGTGGAACTTAATTTTATTGCTTCTGATGTGTAATCGATTTTTAATGATTTCGCTTGCACAACGAGAATCTTCCAAATACTCAATAATATATATAATGTTCTCAGATGCATATTTCAATATATTTTGTTTAAAGGAATTTTTAATTAATAAATTTGCTTTGCACTTTTTCTGCTATTCGTTATTTTGAATATATTTTCTTTTATTTTACACTTCCAATGTCCCAATTCTTTAATAAAGTTTTACTGTAAAAATTTGTTGAATTTATTTGCTTTTGTCTGAATCAGAGTCATTGTGCCTCTTTAACGGCACAAATGAAGATTTAACGCTATTCAAACGTATTCACAGCATCAATTTTGCACACCTCAGCTTTTCGAAATACAAACACAACAAGAAAAAATAAAAATAAAAAATAAACACCAGTTTATTTAAAATAAACTCAAAAGTTATTGAAAGAATATTTTTATATTTCACGCGCTAATGTCTTCTCCGATGGTCCGAAGTGGTAAACGTAAGATCAGCAACTGAGTTGATCGAAATCACAGACCAATTGGCAATCCATTTTTTACTTCAGCAAAGATCGCTTCTAGGCATTTACAGATTTCCTATTTCGCTTTTTGATTAGTTAGTTTTGCAAGGGAAATTATTACTTTTGTTATTATTCTATTATTAATGCATAAAAGTCAAAGACATAGCAAAAGCAGATATACGAAAAAATACAAGAGAGCTTGTTATGATTGAATGCCATCGATTGTTTAGATATTGTACGTTTAATCCCTTTTATCATCAATTAATTGGTATATAGTGCCACATTTGTGGTTGCTAAAATTTTATTATCTAATTTGTAGAAAGCTAATGATTTGTTTAGATTTTTGCGAGGTTTAAAAACTTTTTTCAAAAATAACTCTCAACGAGTCTACAGAAAAGGACGTTTCAAAAATCGAGGTTAGATACCCACAACAATTTCGATTTATTACTACCTATTAATAATAACTGTGATGGGTATTACAACCCTAACACAACTATAACTTTAGATCTTAGAAAGAGAAAAGTTCTTCGCGAGGCCTTTAGTCTTTTATATACAAGCTATAGCTGTAGTATCCGAATGAATCACGAACTGTTTCGTTATCACAGAACTGATGTTAGTACTGATTGTTACTATCACATTAATA